AAAAAAAAAACAGTTAAAGAACATTCGACACTTTAAGGAAGACTCTGGCTTTTTTGGGAGGAATAATTGGTTTTATTAGGCATGATGCAACTGTCAGTGCATAAATTAACCAACACACTTCATATTGAGTTCAAAACTCCATTAGCTTTTCCGTTTACCTTTGGGGTATGGAGGCATTTGATTAAAGCTTTCACATAAGCACAAGGTCATTAAGAAGCAGTACGTAAGTAACATAAACTGTTATTTGTTAAGTATAATAAATATACTTGAAAGTTATATCACACATAAAACTTTAGTGCTGATGTATATCAGGAGGGCAAGATCTTGGGCAAGAGAGGCATTTATTAGACATTTCTTTAGAGACGATACTGGTGCACATCAATGGAAAGAACTGCTTTTTCTTGTGCCTTGAGGTAGCATTTAGCTCCGTTCGTGTTATCTTGTGTTAAAGTTCATAGAGGGAAAAGTGGCTCTGAAGGATAGTTTGCAGCTAGGAGTGCCCCTCTCTGCTGACACTTAGCATCGTTGTTTTAGTGACAATGAGGAGGGGAGTGGCCTGGGTAAAACTAATCAATAAGACGAATGAGGATGATAAATTGGTGGGCAGTGACAGGGACAGTTTTCATAGCAAGATACATATATATGGTTTTCCATGGTCCAAAGGCTCAAGGAGAGCTTTTACAGTGAAGGATTTATAATTACATGAGCAGATCCACTAAAGGGGACAAGGAAATTAGTTAGGACAGCTCTTTCTGCACTGTACCATAGTGTACAAAGTGCATCAAAGATCTGATTAAATGTGGGAGCTGATTGTTCTGAAAATCAGAGAGTATCCTAGCAAAGTAATTGCTGGATCAGAATATCAGCTGTAGCTGGTGGCAGGAAAACAAATGATTATGCCTTCGAAAATGCCAGATGGAATCTCACAGAGCTCTGCGGATATGCGGTGAATAGCGAAAACAGATCTATTAGGAAGATCTGTGGTTGCTCCTCTCTTTCTTCTATAATTGGCATTATATACAACATCAAAAGTATAATATCATGTGTTTTAATGGATGGATATCTTAATAATTATGTGGTGAAAGAAGTTCCATTAAAACATTTGTGATGCCCTTTGTATTTTTTCAGCGACTGAAAATCCTTTCTAACTAAAAATCAAAACTAAAAATCTAACTAAAAAAAAGATTATACAAACATTAAAAATGAAATATATATGTATAAATGGCTTGGTTTTTTAACACAGCGAAGTGAAATTAAGCAGATGCTAGGACCTTGAAGGAGGCAAAGATGTTAATAATGGCTATAAATATATGGATATCTTACACGCCAAGAGTAGAAAGCATTAGTAAGAAGAGTAAAAGTGCTTTTCATTCCAGTAAAATCCAGTAGCTTGTCCAGAGTGCTCTGAAAATGTCTTTACCAGAAATATCATATGGAGTTTGTTATGTGCGGATGGTGTTTGTTACATTCTTTAAAATACACAGTTCCATGGTTGCTGAGAGGCAAACTGCAGAGGCAAACAGCTACAAATGCAATTTGTGGAACACATGGCATTGTAATTTGGCCAAGAGAGTTCCATCTGGAATCAAAATTTGAAATCATAGGTATACAGAAATCACAGAACAACGCCATACGCCCAGGGAAGGTGCATCTACCCCACAGGAAAAGCAAACTGCATCATTTTTCCCATGCTCAGGGGGTATCACTAAAAGCATAGTAATCAGTGAGCTTTGGTAAGGGAGGGATGTGTTATTTTCCTAAAAATATTTACCAGCATTTCTCACTTGGACATTGGTTTTGAATTACTCATGTCTGGATTTTCCCATGATTAATCTCTAGCCAGTGGGTGCCCGTCCTCTCTCCTGCAGGGCCTGCCCGGGATCCGTGGAGAGCGCGGGGACAAGGTAGGGCAGCGCTGCGGGCGCTGGGGCTGAGCCCCACGGCTCCGGAGGGCCGGGGTCCCCGTGCGGGGCTGCTGCCCCCTCCGAGGGTCTCACCCTCCACCCTTTCCTGCAGGGAGACGTTGGGGCCGTGGGGCCCAAAGGAGACAAGGTGGGTGCCGGGGCTGGGCCAGGGGCAGCGCGGGGGGCTTGGCGCTGCCCCCGTCACCTCCGCCTCCCCCGTGTCCCGAGCAGGGCGACACCGTCATGGTGGAGGGGCCTGCTGGAGCGCGGGGCAGCAAGGGGGAGCCGGTAAGAGCCTGTCCCCGTCCCGTCCTCCTTGTCCCTCTCCCCGTCCCCATCCTGTCCTCCCTGTCCCCATGGGCAGCTCCTGGCTGGACCTGCTCTTCCAACCTGTCATCGGAGAGATCCCCTGTGGCCGCATGGCCAAACCCCGGCAGGGTCTCTCCTCCTCATCCCTTCTGCATCCCCGACCCCTTCTTCTCTTTCCCGCACAGGGAGAGCGTGGCCTGAAGGGCACAGAAGGGGACAAAGGGGACAAGGGGGAGCAGGGCATCCCTGGAGAGAAGGTAGGGGGCTGCAGGCAGGGCTGGGGGCCGTGGCACCAGAGCGTGCACGGCCCTGGGCCC